ACTCATTGATGCACTCATTGGTTTTTGATAAGTGCTTACTGTGGGCAAGTCTGACAGCTAATGGGAAGGTTCCAGGAAGGAAAAGGATCATCTTTTTTCTCAATACTACTCTAAGTTTCTGCCTCCAGACAAACACCACATGCACTTTCAGTCAGAACAGTTCTCTCTGCAAACAGAAGGAATTTCAAAAATATTGTTCACTGAAAAAAACCTTTTAAATCCTAAGGAATGGTGAAAGGAACCCTAAACTCTACAAAAAGGGACCAAATCCCTATAAAATGCCATGATCATACTGAAATTTCTAGCATTCTTGCCAACAGGACAACTTATGCCTAGCAATATCAGACAGCATGTTACTGCAAATTGGCTAGCAAGGAGGAATAAGGATGTTCTACTGAGATCCTAGATGCCTTAATTCCCGAAATAATATATGAAGCTATTTTGTAAAAAGCTCAAGGCAAAGGCAATAATGATCAGTTACTGTTTATCTATCACAGTGGAATCTGCATTAGGGAAAATTCAGGTTTATTATCGAAGGATCTGGGGGAGGTGGAGAACTAAATTAATTTATCACATGAGAAAACAGTGCATTTCCCAAAAAATGTCTCCATGTGGGATATTTAATAAGGGGAGCATTATTGCATATTACAAATGACCTGCTTTGGAAGATACCTACCCCACTACACGCAAAAGTTCTGTGAAGTATACTTCCTATCTTTCTATCTTCTGATATTTTGCAAATGTCAGTATGGCTTCCTCTTCTAACTGAGTATACACTGAAAAAGAATTCACATGACTACATTTCCTCCAGGCAATACATCACAGAACAATATACTCTTTGAAATCATTCCTGGCTCTTTGAAGAATACAGCTGTCATTTCTGTATGCAGATAAAGCTGTATTTTGACACTTTACAATTAGATATTGTGTGTCAGCTACCTCTGAGAAATGAGAGATATTTTTATGCACATATCTGCATACCAATTCTTTATGTAGCATACTATAATTAAATAAAATCATAACATTCCTCTCTAATGTTCAAGTGAAAACACGCCTAAGGCCTGAGTTTCAAAAGTGCAGAAACTGAAAACTGTCCAGGAATACTAATAGAAATGGGTATTGGGGATCTTCACTAATATGTATATAAGGTGGCCAGAAAATAGGGCACAACACCAAAATTTTCAAGAGCTGGACTTTTCACAGTAAATAAAAAAGCTCCTACTAGGAAACGTTAATGGTTAATGGTGCCTCTACTCGCACTATGTTTCTGGGTGACCAAGCATATCTACATGTGTCATGGCTCAATTAAGCTATTCCTAAAGCACTGCAGACCCAGGAATATCCCAGCACACTCCACATGCATGATGCAAGTTCAGTGTGGATCTGGGGGACTATACTGCTGCTAACTCATAACCACAGATTAGTAGCCAACATAACAACTATTAATTTGTCTACGGTCAAAGTATTTATTTAACAGCAGTGAGAGACGAGGAGAGATGCAGCAATGGGATGCATTAAAGCAGGTTGCAGGAAGAGGGGAGATCTTACCACATCAGCTTGCATTCTCTTGAGTAGCTCCTGCAATCATACCCATATACTTCTCTCACAATCAGTCCTGTGGTCTTCCTTCTCTGTGCTTTCTGACTTCCACCAGTGGGGCTGACACGAGGGTTTATTTACTTTATGCATCCCCATCTACACCTTAGTTGAGCAGGTTCAAGAAGCTAGAAATGATTGAGAGCGAATGTCTATTCAGCTGTTCTCTGAATTTCATCCAGTCTATGCTCCCCTCTTCTGCCAACTTAGTTCTGCTTCCCTAAATACCTTCCCCTGTACTCCCTCTTCCATCAAGTAAATTCACTCTTCCCCCAAATACCATACCCTCCCACCCACACACAAACTACCCCAGACTAAGGGCAGAATCCTATCTCACTGTACAGGCCCAAATGGCAATATTCCAGCTGTGTAACTGCGGTTGTAGGCACTTGCTCAAATTCACAATCCTTCTCCATGGGCAATATGGACCCTTAGACTTATGTTAGCACACTAACGCTTCTGCAACCTACTGTACGGCAGTAGTCCACACTGTCAGGAGTCGAATCACAAACTGTGAATAGTGCCTAAAATTGCAGTTAAGTGGATAGCAAATTGCCATTTGAGCACGTAAAGTGAAATGGGATTTTATCACATGTGCCCATGGCCAAGATTTTGGCTGCTCCCCCACAAATTTCATTGCTACCTGGGGCAGGAATTAGGAAAAAGACGGAGGAGCTCCTGGGCACCATTATTGCCCTTCTCCACCTCATCTGCCCTCTTTTAAAGGTACTTCCACTTATTACATCCACCATCTGTTCCGGTACTGTCTGCCCCACGAGCTCAAAAATCACTAAGCAGACCAAGAATCCTCTCATTGTTCGTAAGCTCGCCTTGCTTTCTGAACTTCTGAGGAGGGGAAACCTCCCTGGTGTATGTGCACCTCCATCACACGCACAACCTGAAGGACCTCCTTTCACTTATCCCAGGTTGATAAATAAGACATTATAACACTTCTCCTCTCTCTCCTCAGACTCTGACCACAGGCCCCTCATTTAGGCCTTTCTGCCCACAGCCCATCTCCATCTAATGGCCACTATCTTGTCTCTCATTCTCCCCATCTTCTGGGCAGAGTCTGGCAACCCTCTGCCTTCACTATCACCCAAGTACGCCCCGTACCTCCTTCCCCAGCCCGTTAGCACAACCTACTCCTCCACTCAGAAAACTGAGCACAGCTTGTACCCAACTTTCCCCCCTTCCCTGCCAGCGCTGCCTCAGCTCGGCCCCCCTCCATCACAGGAGCTCAGTAGCAACAGAGAAAGATATAAATGAAACCCTAGCTAAGCCTAGCTCCCCACTAGGTTTAGTGACCGATGCACTGGCCTGGGAATCCACAAAGCTAAATTAGTTTAAGTCATCCACAGTGCAGCTGGGAGGATGGAGAGGCCTGTACCTGAGCCCTCTGGCTGGAGTCCTCACGAATTTAACAGGAGCTCCAACTGCCTCCATGGGGCATAGAAAATTACCATTGTGGGATCCCTTCCACCTCCTGCCCTTCCGCCCCTGCACAACACTAAATGGGATTGAGAAGGGCTGCTGGGAGCTGCCTGGTGTTCCCAAGTTGGCTTCCCAGTTCCTCCAGGTGCCCAGCAGGTTTCTGGGCTCATGCACAGGCAGCAGCATGTGCAGGGGAGTGGCGGCCTCTGCTGGCGATAGCCAGAACTTCAGCCTGACATCAAACCCACAGCAGCGTTGTTCCAGCCAAAACTGCAGCACAAGGAACAGCATAACTAAGGAGGAGCAACTGGGATAGCAGCCAGACACCGACTTCCTATTTATTTATTTATCCATCTGTCCATCCATTTATTAGTTTGATATCCTGCTGTATCCCAAGGGCTCAGAGCAAACCACAAAGAAGATTCTCCAACACACCAAAACTCAAAGACCCAACTCCCCAACCATCACCTATAAGACTGAAGGTGCAAAAATAACCACTGCTGCAGCTGTTGGCTGACCACACAAGCTACTGGCACTGCCCTGCCAAACCTCTGAGCTTAAGATACAAATTAGTCAATAAAATCCTTGATTTGACAGAAGTGTCTCAAAGTTGCTACAAGCCAACATCCATGCTGTCAAAAATAACTGGCCTCAACCAAATATCAAAGCAAGCAACACATCAGCCTCCAGTTCTACTGGTTATTCTTCTCCAATGCCCTGTACTCTATTTTCATACATAACCCCTGTTCCCCTACATACTTGCAAGTTCCCATATAATCCAAACACCTGCTTGGGAGGGTGCATCTGCTACTATGATTTAACATTTGCATGCTCCTACAGTATTAAAAGTTAGCTAAATCACTATTACATGATCACACAAAACTTGCCAACCAAACCCGCGGAGAATGTGGGTTTGTAAAACTGTAAGTCACTGCAAATCTTCCTTAATTTTACTCAATCTACTCAGAGAACCAGGGAGAGGCAAGTTGTTGAGAGTGACTACTCTGCAGTACAGCATTTTGGAAACTGGGAATGGCTTCTCTGATGCTGGGAATAAGAGGAGACTAACCTTTTAGGCAAATCAAGAAATCATCAGACCAGTGCTGTGACAGAGAATGTGTGTTGCTCAGAGGAGAGAGAGAGAGAGAGAGACAGGAAGCAAAAGTACTCTCTGCATTTAGCAGAGAAAGATGAATATTTCTCCATGTCCCCCCACTTTTATCATGATCAACAGCTTGTTGTCAGTGTGTTGCTAAAATTAGAATTACCCTGTGGGCATGGACACACACACACAATGAAGGATTCAGAATGGATCAGTGAAATCAATGATATTTTTTCAAAAATTAATATTTAATAAAATAGTTAGGAATGATGTACTTTTGATGGTTTGAAGCTTTCCTTCTCCTCATGGTTAATTCATGATTTCTATTAGTTATGAAAGGGAATTTATGGAACAGTGAGCTGATGTTATTGATATTAAAGGAGCAGTATGATTGATGTGCTAACTGCATCGATTTTTTCCCCCAGATTCTACTTTATTATACACTAATGAACACACAGACCAGCTGTGACAGTAAACCAAGATAACACATTTACAACAGCAGCAGCAGCAGAGATACTACTTTACAACTCCATGTGCGTCTCATGGGCATTCCAGATTTCCCGGCCCCCTTCTCATGCATGGATGGTAATTACGGTGGAGCTAGACAGTTCACAGCAGTGTTCTTATTCACACCATCTTATCAGGCAGTTAATATAAGCCCGTTGTTTCAGCTTAAGCAATAGCATTTTCTTGAGTTCTCATCCACTGACAGAAACATCTGTCCTCCCCTTCACTTCCCTTCCCTCTTGCCTGGGCCTGCCTTTTACCTCAAATACAGTCTTCATTTACTGAACAGTAATATCCAATATGAGTTTCTAGCCATGCCATTGCAATGCCCTAAGAATGTCTTCCTTACTTTAATTTTTTTCAGTTGCATTAGCATTTCACCACTAGCCATTACATCTGTTATTCCACACTACTAGAAGTCCACATCTGCCATAACCATTACAGTGAAAAGGAAATTACCAGTGAACTATAGTTCATAAAATACTAAAAGAGCAACAAATGCTGTTTAGTATTCACTTCCAAAGTGCTAACCTCCATGGCCTAGGAGGGTATGCTATGATAATACTTAACAGATAGCATTTAGAGATGTAATTGGGACCGATAGATTTTTGTTAAAATGTGATCTATGAAACGAGAGGGAATAGGCAGAGGCCGCTGGTGATTAGTGTAACCAGACTAACAGAGGTTGTTTACTGAAAGCAAATATAATCCATGCAATAAAGCCCTCTTTGGAGAAACTGCTTGCAAGGGAAGAGGCAATTTCACAGGGATGAGTAGGGGGAAGGTCAGTAAGTTTCTATAAGAGTTATTCACAGAGAGAATATTGCAGAATCAGCTTCTCTGAAGGGAGAAACGTGAGTTTCTGTGGGGAGAAGCAGCTTTGCCTTGGTCTCAGATTTGACTGCAAGGATCATACTTCTGCTTTATGTAATGTTCTAGGATACAACCATGGACAATGTGAGAAAAATAATGTTCATCTCGCCAATAGATTTCTTAAAAAAGTATTGTTTTTGTCAGCAAAACTGACAAACCGAAGAGGCAGTTCACTTAGTCCAACCAAAAGTCATGGCCTCAGTCACTTTACTAATGTATGTTGCAAAAGAATTATAAATAGAATTACAGACTTTATCAACTGTATTTTTTTCTTTTTTGTTTCTTGTGAAGTTTTAAAAAATAACCTCTCTCTATTCAGAACCTTTTCAGAGAGAAGCTGATGTATGGCTTGATTCTAAAATACAGATTACTAAATTGTCTTATTTGCAAAATGAATTATATCATCCCATTTTACATTTTCATCCAAAAAAAAAAAACAGCCATAACACTTTCCTCAAGCATGTATATTTGTGCATGTATGTGTGGATCTGAGCACTTATGAAGTCCACAAAGAAAATGTGACAGACTTAAACATAGTCTCAAAAGGATACTCATTCAATGCATGCTGTGCTCAGCATTTGAGAGTCATCTAGTGATTGCTTAATAAGTTGTCAACTTCCATTATCACAGTGTTCTTTCAAAGCTTCTTTTGAAACTTCTCTGTTTGTGGGAGCAAAGGAGCAGGAATATGTTGGTCATGAAAAATACTAAACATAGGGAGGAAGTTTTGACTTGGAGGTCACTGTTTAAAATTTTTAAAAATAATTTGGTTTCAGTATTGATTATTTATCCAGCTATAAGTTACATATTTGATTCACTTGGATAAAATTATTGGCTTCAAACTGCTACCTCTTCAGATCCCTTCTCAGACTGACTACTGATTATATTAATCTGATTATTTCATTAATTAGAACATTTAATTCCAACCCAATATGGAAGCTAACTGGTGGATTTGATTTTGATTTGAAAGCTGTTTCATTATTTTCAATTTAGCTGAGACTTAACAGTAGCATAGCTTTAATAACTTTTTCTTGATTTTATTTTTGTTTAATTTATACAGCAGGCCCACATCATATTTCTTTCAATAAACATCCTGGGTTTTAAATCTTTGAGGACCTGCACAGACATCAGCCAGTCAGCCTAAAAGACTAACAAGTTCACCCTAATTGTCTTTGGTTCTCACAACGCCTAAAACTATTTTGTGTATAGAACAGAAATAATGAATGGGGACTACTGAGATGGTATGATCTGGCATGCTGCCTGTTGCATGCAATTAAAGTATTTTGACCTTATAAAGTTTCTTACAAAAAAAAAAATCTCTTAATCAGAATTTTTCTTTTACAGTTTCTATTCAGCAGTTTTTTCTTGTTCTTCATTTTGAGTCACTTGACACAACCAACTGCTGTGCATATTGATCTGGGCAATTTTGTCATCATTGGGAATAACTCAAGTTGCCAAAGGGTGGGCATCAGCAAGAATGGTGCTCATGCTAGGGCAACTGAGCCAACTGAAAATGAAAAAAAAAGCTTGGCAGCTGCTGCTTGTGTTGTAGGCAGGGAAGGCCAAGGAAGGAAAGAAGTTAACTTGCACCGTGATGTGAGGTTATAACTTACTGCTACTAATGTTAACTCTCACAAGAAGCTTAGAATAATTAGTCTTCCCACTACATATTTACAATAAAAAGCTGCATAACTTGTACAGAGAAGAGGGCTCTTGTCCACCATTTCTTCTCTTGCCAAACAGCTTAGTTGCCATTTCTTTTGCTGTGTCTGGACCCTGACTCCACAAAAATATATCAGGCGGTGTTTGGTGGGGGATCTCCCAGTTGGCTTCTCCCTCAGGGTCACTGAGCTGGTACACACTTTCTGTTCCTCTTTGTCCCTCTCCAGTGCATTGAAAGGAATCTTTATACTCTCCATTGGAAGAATAGGTCCAGCTCACCACAAAATTGACACATTTTCCAGATTACCCAATATGAGCCAGAAAGGCAACTGCTGAAGGCCTTGTTGGATTAGACCAGGGGTATCCAACCTTTTTGAATGTGGGGCCGGATCATGAACTTTATCACCCAGTAGATTGGTGAGCCATATTCAAAGACCTCCCAGGAAGTCATATCACATCAGGAAGTGATGTCACATGACCTTTGACACCAATGAAGTTGCAAAAAGTGACAATGAAATGGGCCTAACCAGTTCAAAACTCTCCCTCTATAGCATCCACCTCTGCCACTGTTCGAGACAGGATACTAAGCTAGATGGACCATGGGGCTGACCAAGCATGGCACTTTTTATGCTCTTATGTTCAGAAGCTTTAATGTTCTTTGGCTGAGCTTCCAAACTATGGCTGAGATTTGCAAAAAGGGGTAGATAGGCATGTTACAAAGTTGTCATAAATGATTTGGAGCCCTCTAAATCCCATTCATTTTAATGGAAGTTGACATTCTGACTTAGCTTTAAAAATCTCAGCCCAAGGTGCCAACCAAATGACTCAAAATATATTTTGCATTTCTATGCAGTGCATCTATGTGGGGCTCTCCAAGCATTTTACAAACATTAAATTAACCTCAGGATGAGCCCAGCCGGAGCAGCAGGGGCTCAGCTGCACTTTCCCCCTACCTGCGCTGGTCAGTCCCGAGCACATGGCTACTGGGGACAGGAGGAGCCCGGCCAGGTCGGCCCCATCTAGCAGAAGCAGCGGCAGAGCCATGTGCTGCTCGGGACGGGACAAGCCTGGCCGGAGCGGCAGGGGCTGAGCTGCATTTTTCCCCTGCCTGCACTGGTCAGTCCCGAGCGGCACATGGCTCCACCGCCGCTTCTGCTGGCCGGTGCAGACCCAGCTGGGCTCCTCCCATCCCCAGCAGCACATGGGAAGCTGGCTTCAGCTGCGTGCTGCTCCGGATGGGACAGACCCGCCCAGGTCAGCACCAACCAGCAGAAGTGGCGGCGGAGCCGTGTGCCGCTCAGGACTGACCAGTGCAGGTAGGGGGAAAGTGCAGCTGAGCCCCTGCTGCTCCAGCTGGGCTCATCCTGTCTTGAGTGGCACACGGCTACTCCTCTTCCCACACACACCGCATCGGCAACATCAAGCTGACATGGTGTGTGTGGGAACCTTGTCCCTTCCCCAGCCCTTCAGCAGCCAGTAGGAAGCTGCTGAGGGGCTGGGGGAGGGACAAGGGGTGGGAACGAAAGTAAACAGTGTTTCGTTTCCCATCACAGCACCACAGGCCTCAGAAAACGGCTTGGTGGGCTGCACAGGAGCCCGTGGGCCGTATGTTGGACAAGCCCGTATTAGACCTTAGATGCCTCTTATCTTGTTGTTACACTGCTTGATGCTCTAAATAATGTACTAATCTTTACTAACACACCAGAAAGTCATGGTTCACAGTGACTACATTTATCTGACATCTGATACCACCTGTGCAAGAGGCCACCAGTTGTCACATATCTGCCTCATACCGTTTGGCAGCACATTATTAGAAAGACATGCTCTGAAACATAATGGTAGAAGCAGAGTGCACAACAGTATTGGAAAAAGAAACAAAAAAAAAACAAAACTTATTTTTGGGTAAATACTGTTCAATTAAAGCATCTCACATGTTCATACACGGAGTTATAAACAGTCCAACCAGTCTCTAGCCCAACTGTGAGGAACACATGAAAAGTCTAGAAGACTTAGGAAGAAATTATTCCTGGACTACTCCCAGTATCTGCAGATAGATTCAAGAGACGATATTTTCTTCTCTAGTATTTGGCAAAAGTTGATATTCTATAAATTCCCCATAATACACACTCTTTATTGGAATATATTTTAATACAAATATTTTATTTAAAAGTTATAGTAGTTAATATTGCTCAGATATTATGATAGAAAGTGGTGATGGTTCAAGATTTAACTCAAGGAAGACATTTCCCTATCTTGTAGCACACAGTGCATTAAAATTTGTCTCATCCTTTGAGGGTGCCTTTTGTGTTAGTTCTGCACTCTCTCTCTCTCATATATATGGTATTACATAAAATAAACCTAGGTGGAAGAAAAGTTTTTTAAAGTTTCAAAATCATACACTTGACATACAAGAAATACCAGATTTCCAGTTGCCTGTGCAACTTTAATATACTCCGTGCTTCATTCATCTTGAAAAATGAATGAAGCATAGGTCCTATGCTAAAAAAGGTGATATTATAATTAAATACATTATGGTAAAGTACATATACAAAGTCTTTGAACAAAAATTATACTGGTAAATCACAGATCTCATATTTCCTGTTGCTGAAAGCTGCTGCCACTTGATGTGGACTTCTCTGACAATATTTAAGGTTGTATGTTATCTGGGCATATTGATAATAGTTTCCCAAGTAATGGAAGTCACAGAAGAAAATGTTATCATTTAAGTTTTTATCTCAGGCAAACTTGAACATAATTTCATGGGACCAAAAAAAAAAAAAAAGCACCTCTGTTGCCTGAAGATTTTTCCACTGTACCAGATTTCAAAGACTTCCTGCAAGCACCTCTCTCCAAAAAGGTGGCAAGAATCCTTTATAATGGAATTGGCTATGCACCTTAATATATAAATACTTTATAACACAACTTGAAAAGAGGTACAATAGCTACAGCATTAAAACACAAAGTTTAATGTCTTCTCTGCGTGGAAAAATGTTAACAGTTATACCAGTATAGGTAAACCAGAGTAACTCTACCATATGGGCACTCTTATTTTTGCCTTGTTTTCGGGTTTAGCTGAAAAGCAATCCCAAATGACAGGGGAAGAGCTCTTAAAAGAGGTACTCTTACATTGGCATAAGACCATTCATACATGAAAGAGGGTTCTACCAGTATAACAACCATCGCTGTTTAAATTCATTAAAACTTCATTTATTCCCCTCAAAATCTTTCTTGTGTAAGCAAACTTTGAAGCGGGCACCCCGTAAATCAAAATCCAAACCTTAGAACAAAAATCTCCAGAACTGAAGGAAGAAGAATGGAGGTAAACATATACGACAGATTCAAGGAAAATAAGAGGTAGAAGTTAACTGCTTACATTTTCAGATGAACAATCATTTGAATTAGTGATGTAAACAGGTCAGGTCTGTGTTTTGGGCAGCCACCAAGCATGGAGCAGTGCCAACTGTGGTACAGCTAGTTTTGCACCCCACTTCCTCCCTAGGTCAGCTGTTGCTCTGGTTCTCCACACCTAGTTATGCCACTGATTTGAATATACTGGATACCGATTTAATTTGAATAGAAAGTTAAGACTGACTGACATTTAAGAAAGAAGAAATATAGTCCCTCAGTCCATCCCAATATTTTTTAATTTCTCCCCCTTGAAAGTGCTCAAAGGGGAAGTTTTGGTGTAACACATATCTTAGTAGTAAGTTAAATCGTGCGATAAAAATGTAAATCAAATTAGGGAAGACACTTGAGCTGCTTGCAGACGTTAAAACAAACAAAAAACCAGCACTTTAAACTTGGCGTGCACCCACGCCAAGCCCAGCGCATGCCCAAAAAAGGCAGCACATTAGTTGGACCCGGCTTGCCCAAAGTCTGCATAGATCGGGTACATTAGTGGGGCTTTTTTGGCACTTTTATCCAATAGCTGATTGACTCTGCTTTAGATAAAGGCTCTAAAAAGCCCCACTGAAGCATCTGATCTATACAGATACTGCAGAGCCAAGCTGAAGTAATGTGCTGCTTCCTCTGGTATTTGGGGGATTTTTTTTTATTATTATTTCTGCAAGCAGCCTTAATGCCTGAAAGCTTGTCCAACAGTTCTATGCAGTTGATCCAAGAAAAGATATCCCCAAAAATCCTTGCCTCTTGTAAAAACAAAATAATATGTTCCTAAAAGAAAATAAGTCATCATATTTTGAGCTAAGTAATATAAAAGGGAACACTGAATACTTAGGAACTTTCTATTTTTCCCTAATTGCTGTTTTAAGGCATGATAAGAGATTAGAGAAAAACACACTATCTTTAAGCTCATTTTGCCCATTTGATAACATTTTGCATAGTTAGTTTCACTTCACGTATTACCAAATAAATCTCCACCGTCTTTCACACGCCAAGGGAATGGTGGAAGTAAGTTGTGGAAACATACATGACTGAAAAAAGTGACTGAAATACCACAGATATTGGCAGAAAGATGCAAGGACAAACATAGAAAATACATGTTTTTTAAAGCGACTAAGTTTTGCATAGTCTGTTCTCATTAACAACATGATACTTGCTATATGGGCCCTCCCTGATACAACTGAACATATTTTATTGATTATCTGACTGACTAAGCCACATATTCAAAAAGCGAATACTCCATTCTTTCACACAAGAAAAGAAAGACTGATCAAGTATGCTAATACAACTAGTTTCCTCACACTTGCATTTCAAGCTAAAAATGTTGTTTTACTAGTTATTTTCTATTTATCATAGTTCAGGCATGTCCACTTACCTTTATAGTAACATTTCCTTTTGTTATTTTTCTCATGTTGAAGCCTACTGTAGGGATCATATCTTCTGTAAACTGCCCTGACTAGAGGGGAAACAAAAATGTTCTAATTAATGTAAGTAATAATTAATTGTTAACGTCAGCAATATTTCATTTTGAGAACTGAACATGTTCATTCTTTATAAGAACCAATCCATTCATTAACTAACTTTCTGGCTACATAAGAAGCTGTGCTTCAGTTTGTGTCCCCAGCCTTTTCTTCCTTGGACTGGCAGAACTCATCACCAGCAGAGTCGGGGACCTTGCATAAAGTTTAATTCAAGTCTTGCAGCAAATCTGGGAGCAGCACTGCTGAAACTAGAAGAGAACTTGCCAACACCAAGACTTTTCCTCACCACTTTTCCCCAACTCAAAGTTCCTCACCACTGCTGCCAGCAATTCAGCCCCAACAGTAACAAAGGTGACAGAGTACTGGCATACGAAGCACTGCAGATGGCACTGTCATCTTGGATACATCTGTCTATACCATGGCAGTAGCACACCAAGATCATCATGGCACTGGTATACCCAACCCACAACTGCCCCTTGAACACTCCTAGAAATACATTGATGAAGATATCCTGGAGTCAACCCCAGCAGCCATTCTCAAGTATGCCAACGACTGAGGGCTTGAAAACAGCCACAGAGCATCTTCACCACAGCATTGCCATCCCTGGAACATGGCAGTTGGATTGGCTTAGTGGGTTGAGCTAAGAAACAGCTTGGGCTGGGCACACACACCACTGCTGCAGTGTAGACATGTCCCTTGAGTAGCAGGGTGCATTTTCTTTTGTCTCCTAAATATCTCCGACAGTAGAAGAAAAAACATTACTAAACAGAAACGTACCCGTGCTCCTTTACAGAACCACATGCCTAGCGGAAATACCAAAAGTTTGAAATTGAGCCGACTCAGACAACATCTAGTTAGTTTCAATGTATGATGCAGGCACTGGACTCATTTGTTCAATATTTATTTTTATGCTGCACACATATTTGGAAGCTAGAAACCAGTGATATTATTTATTATTCAACATTGGAATCTTGGAAAAACTTGACAGATACATCAGGAACCTATTACAGGTTACAGGAGTAGGCTAACATAAACAGGATGCGTTTCAAT